GACAGGAATGAACATACTCACAAGTCATCCTGCTAAGATTAGAAGTAGCTGGCTCCACAGTCCACACTCTTTGGCACCAGTAACCAGGACGTATTGAGATGGGAAAGTCTGCGGTTAGAGACCTCTATAAAGTACTGAAAAGCAATGGTATCACTCTGGAGACTAAGGTGCGCCTGATACAGGCCATGGTCTTTGCAATCACTTGTTATGCATCAGAGAGCTGGACAATGACCAGGGAGGATAGAAGGATTGATGCCTTTGAGCTGTGGTGCTGGAGAAGAGTACTGAATATACCATGGACTGCCAAGAAAACGAACAGGTCTGACCTGGAGAGGGTGAAGCCAGGCTGCTCCTTGGAGGCAAGGATTCTGAGGCTTTGTCTGACATATTCTGAACATGTTGTAAGGAGGGACCAGTCCTTGGAGAGGGACATCATGCTTGGTAGGGTAGAGGGACAACGCAGGAGGGGAAGACCGTCTACGAGATGGATTGATTCAGTGACTGGGGTAATGGGGGTAGGTGTGTTGGAGATGGTGGGATTGGCACAGGACAGAGCAGGGTTTAGGGTTATAGGGTTGCTATGAGTTGCAGGCGACTCGACAGCACATGATGACAACAACAACATCAAAGATTAGAAGCGGACCAGTTGCAGAAGTGCGGAGTCCCCGCTGATCTGTCGTGTAATTCCTTAATTTCTGGCACTACCAGCCCCTCCTTCCTTTCCTTCCCACACTCCTCTGTGTCCTTTGGGGTCGGTGGTTCACGGGAAGGTCTCCCAGAGACTCAGACCATTAGGAGAATGAGTGACTCTCGCGGTGCAGGTAAGCAGGCCGACTTAGACTGGTGAGCTGCAGTCTAACTTGAGAGCAGGTGTCCCAGGAAGACAGCAGTTACACCGACACTAAGCCTCCTTCAGCATGAAGGTGCATGGCTGCACAGGTTCCCTAGACTTACACACAGACATGAAATGACTGACAGCAAACAGGTGAGTCAAGTACCACCGTGACAGACATAACGCAGAGCACTGACTTCTCATGGGCTTACGCAAACCTCCGGCAGAGCAGGCCTTCCGTCCCACCCTCATCCTCTCTCCTTAATACAAGAACTTCAGCATAAAACGGTGAACCCATGGCTGGGAAGGACATATTGAATGACAGACCTTTGGCACCTCAAGCTGATCATCAGTGTGGTTCTGCATCTACGTAACCTTCACCTCACGAGCAGAACACAGCTGAACAGGCAGCAGGGTGAGGCCCCCACTATCTCCTCAAGTGGAGGTGCCGACAGCCTCCGAAGAAAGGTACAGAAAAGCCGAAGAAGAGCTCATGAACAGGGCGCTGCAGCACAGGGCAGCAGCTGACGCAAACGCACACCTGTAACGGGTCTCGTTCTTTGATTTGCTCTTTTGTTGTCTGAGGGCTGCCTGGCGTGTTTCCCACTTAACCAAGAGGCCTGTTTGGGACATTCCAGCGTCAGCAGTTACACCCACACTAAGCCTCCTTCAGTATGAAGGCACATGGAGATATACAAACAGGTTCCCCAGACTTACACACAGACATGAGATGACTGACAGCAAACAGGTGAGTCAAGTACCACCGCGACTGACTTAAAGCAAAGCGATTGTCTTTGTAATGATTCCTTCTGTCAAAGAGTTCATGTGTGTGTGTGTGTGTGTGAAAATTGTGTCATGAGATGGGATCCTGTGTGGATGTTGTCTGTGCTGAACATTTCAGTTGCATGCATATTTTCCAGAAAGGACCCAGGATTTTTTAAAAAGGAATGACCTTGGGAATATAATGAATGGATTCTCGGAGGCACCTTAGCTATTGGGCTTGTGGTGAAATACTTAATGGAAAAGATGATATTTTCAGATGGGTGTGAAAGATGAGATAGCTGTCAATTAGGAATGCAAGAATACTCTTTAACAGGGTGAAGTCTCTCTCAGGTAGAAGTGATAGGGAATGGCAAAGGACACACCGACAAAGGAGATTAATCAGAACTGACTTTGACAAGCACTGTGGCAATTGGACAATTAAAACAGACATTTGGATGGCGGAGAAGAAGAACAAACTGGGGAGGAGGGTAGAGAGAATGGTGCAGCAATGAAGGAATGAAAACCCCAAATCCCTGTAAATGCTCATTAAAACTAATAAAATTTAATAAAAAAAAAGAATACTCTTTAAAATACTCTCTTCTTTTTTTTTTTAATTGTGAATAATTTTTTTAAAAGTAAAAATTGAGGCAATAACTACCTTTTAAACTAATGGTTGTTGTTGAGTTGTGCATTGTCGAGTCAGAACCCTCGGGTGACTTTTCGGAAGTAGTTAACTGCAGGGGAGGAGTCTGTCTACCCTTCTCCTGGCGGAGCTGAAGTGGGATCCACATCTCACGCCATACAAAAAAAATCAACTCAGGGTGCAGCAGAGACCGAGGGGTAAAGCCCCAAACCATAAAAGCTCGTGAGTTCCAAAATGGGACCAAACTGAAGAGGCCTAGTCTATGGTATAAAAAGCTTGGAAAATACAGCCAGAAATGCACAATCAGCAGAGGATAAAACCGATGAATGGGACCTTCTAAAGAAGGCTGTTTGGCACTTCCTCAAAAAGCTGAAAATAGAAATCCCATATGAGCAGCTATTCTATTGCTTGGAATATACTCAAGAAAATGAGAACTGAGGCTCAAATGGAGACTTGTACCCCGATGTTCACAGCAGCATTATTCACCATCGTAAGAACACGGAAACAGCTTAGATGTCCAAACACAAATAAATGGACTGAGAAGTTGTGGTACAGGGCAGTGACTTTGTAAATCACTACCTAACTTGGGAGGGACTGGAGAGCATTATGATGAGTGAACTAACTCTGTCACACAAGGACAAATACTGCTTAAAATCACTATCATGGGGGAGAGGGTGGGAGCAGAGGGGTGAAGATGGGCAGGGGGGTGGAGAGTTAATCATAGGATTGCATAATTCGACGGGTGGTGATGGTGGTCAAAGAAATGGGGAGGATCTTGTGTGAAAAGCAATGTATTCAAGTTTTGTAAATAAATCAGTATTAAAAAAATAAAAATCTACAACAAAAATACTCCTCTTTTCAATAAGGTAAAAAGAAACCCTACTGACTGGGGAAAAAAATTGACAATGTCATCTCAGTCAAGGGTCTTATAACAAAAGTTTACACAATTCTACAGAGTTTCCAGAAGAAAACGACTGATAAGCCAATTACAAAATGGGCAAAAGACGTGGAAACACTTTTTCAAGAGGAAGATCATTCAGATGGCCAACAGACACACAAAGAAATGCTCAAAATCACTGGCAATAATAAGAAGGCAAATCAAAACCACACTGAGATACCATCTCACCCCAGTGGCAGTAACAAACTTTAACAGGACAGCAAGCAGGACCTGTTGGAGAGAATGTGGAGAGATTGGAACTTTCACACACTGTTGGTGGGATTGTAAAATGGTACAACCACTCTGGAAGGCAGTTTGGTGTTTCCTTGAAAAAACAGAACATAGAAATTCCATAGGATTCAGCTATTCCTCTGCTAGGTACATGCCCCAAGGAAAATAGAACGGAGACATGAATGGAGATTTGTACCACTGATGTTCATAACAACACATTATTCACAATAGCAAGAAAATGCAAACAGCCAAAATGTCCATCAACAAACGAACGGACTGAGAAATCATGGTGCATTCACATGATGGAATACTATGCAGCATTCAGAAGCAATGGTTTTGAAAAATACCATGTAACATGGGAGAGGCTGGAAAGCATTACATTGCGTGAACTTAGTCTCACAAACATACATACTGCGTAAGAGCATTACTGTAAAAATAGATGGATTACTAGTAAGATATGTACAAAAGTCCAAAGGTGGAAGGGGAGGGAAGAGGGGCTGTACGGGTGGGGAAGGGGGAGAAGCTTGAGGGAACAGAGTTATGTGGGCAGAGTGAGTGGTTGAAGAAACTGGGCGGATTCAGTGGGGATCTGAAAGAGTGGGGGAGTGATGGGCATGGACCAAAGGTGATTGATTTTATAAAACACAATGTATGGGACTGATTCTATGAAACACAATATATAGAAACAAAACACTATGTATAAGAATCTTGTATGCAAACCAATATCAAATACAGTATTTTAAAGTTGTTATTATTGTTGTTGTTAAGTGCCATCGAGTCATGGATGACTCAGAGCGACCTTATGAACAAAAGACCTGAACACTTGTATAACTTTCATTGTTTCTCCAGGTTCATAGAGTTTCCGGAGGCAAGCTACTTCAGAAGTGGATGCCACTCCTGCTTCCAAGCTTGTTTAAATCGGGGAGCTCCACCAAACACCGTCCACCACGGGTGACCATTATCACATTTGACACATTAGTGTCACAGTGTTCAGCATCACAGCAGCCACGAGTTACCCCCTGTACAGCAAGTGGACAGACCAGTGCTGTACCACATAGAAGAATGTTTTTGGTCACAACCAAACTTTTTTAAAGAAGGAAGGTATTTTTCAAAACACTGCATAACAGGGTTGAATTTACAGGATATTATGCCAAGTTACTTAAGTTGGTTTCAAAAGGACACTTTTGGAACATGACCGATATTATAAAAAATTAAGGAAGTGTTTACACGGAGAAAGAATTACTCTTATTTTTTTCTTTATATTTGCTACACATGCATCTTTTATTCACTTATTTTTTTTTTTGGCTTTCATTCAGTGAAAGAGAATCATTCTGAGATGATCACAATGGACAGAGAGGAAGGGAGGGAGGGAGGTGTGAACATAGTAATAGCTACGAAGTGAGGTAGAAGGCAAGCCGACGGGAAGTAAGACACAAATCAGACATTGTAATAGCAATTGATATGTAAAGAAAAAATGGGTCTGAATGACTGAAAAACAGATACTACGTTCAAATTTTTACTTGCATTCACAATAAAAGATACAAAGTTTTTAAAAAAGCTTACACACAAACACACGTCTCCCCACACGTACTCACTTTTGAGCATTGATTCCATCAATAGCTTGAATCATCCTTTCATTCAATTCTTCTTCAAATCTTTTCTTTTGTGATTTGGTTCTATAAAAAAAAAGGAACATGGGCAAAATGTTAATGAATACATAGGGAAATAGTAAGGCTATTTGCCTATGATGTCAACATTTCTATTTAATGCTGTTCATAAAGTATAGAAAGACATAAAGGAGGGAAGCCCCCGAGCCACCACCGCCCAGCAGTTTATAAAGAAGCTTCTCCGTATGGTGGGCAGCCCCCTCTGCGGACTGAGCACTCTGCTGGGGGTCTGGTCTGGCCAGGACGGACCTCAGTGCTCACTTGCTGTGGCGGCAGTGCCGGCACTGAACGCAGCACGGAGAGGCAGGCGCATGCTTGGACAAGGGGCCAGCGTTCGCCACACAGGACCCTTCTGACCAGCTGTTGTTCCACTGAGGTACCATGGAGTCAAGTGCGCCCCACAGAACCATCTGAACAAGAGCTCTGAGCCCTGTCCTAGCTGTGCCATCCTCATCAACTGACACACTTGAGGCCTCTGCAGCAGTCACCTCGTCAATCCGTCGCACGGAGGGTCTCCCAGTGAGGGTCTCCCTCTCCTTCACTCAGCCTCCACTCTTCCGAGCATGATGTCCCTCTCCGAGGAACAGCCTCTCTTAGCAACATCCCCCAAGTATGTGAGAAGAAGTTTCCTCATCCTTGCATCTAGGCAACTTTCTGGCTTCCCTTTCACCAAGAAGACATGTTTGTCCTCTTGACCGTCCGTGGGATGGTCAGCGCTCTTCTCCAGCACCACAGCGCAAAGGCATCGATTTTTCTTCCGTCATCCTTAGTCACTGCCCAGCTCTCAGATACACAGAAAGTGACCAGAAAGACCATGTCCGGAATCAGATGCACCTTAGTCCTCAAACTGACATCATTACTGCTCAATGATTTGGACTGGACCCTGACTTCAGACTTTCCCTGTGCAGTGCATCTCCTGACCTGTTGGTTCCTGGGACCACAGACAGACTCTTGAACGCTGTGCTCTGCTGTCACAGTTTCACAAGTGGTACAGTAATCACGGTCACTTCTCTCTACGAAGTGTAGATAATGGAGCCTGCCATTTCCCCCCTTTCTGTCTAGAAGTGGGTTTCCCCGTGGAGAAGCAGGCTGGCGAGCTCCAAGCCTTTCTGCGGACATCCTCGCTTCTTATCACTAATTGCTATCCCTCTGGAACCCCCCCTCGCTGACCCTGCAGTCGGTTTCGGAGGCTGTAAATCACCCATCTTCCCCCCAGGAGCCGCTGGCTTATTCAAAGCTCCAGAGGAACTCAGCCTGGATGTTAGCAACTCAACTCCTGACCGACCACGTCACCAGAGCGTCCTCTACAGCAGGAGGCCCCGGATCTCGGAGCCCAGTCCCGTTAACCAAAACCCTGAGCTCAGAGCCCAGAAGAGGCCTGGAGAGGAGGGGGATCCCTGAGCTGATTCCCCGGGGGGTACTGGCACCAACGGGAGGGTCAGGGGGTCTGTGGAGACCTCAAGGAGGCTCGCTGGGGGCCAGGATTGACCGGAAGCAGTGGGATTGGTGACAAGTATGGACAGTCCAGGGCCTCTGTCCTGAGCGGACACCCATTCTCTTCACTCTGCAGGCCAGGCTAATTCTGTCGAGGGAGTCCCTGGATGGAACAGAGAGGTAACGCAGGCCTCTGTTAACCACTAGGTGGGTGGTTCATGTCCACCCACAGGCTCCTTGAAAAAAGGCCTGGTGATCGGCTTCCAAGATATCAACTGCTGACAGCCTAGTGGGGCTGAGTTCTCCTCCAGCATGGGGGTGAGGGGTCCCTGACTTGGTTACAATTATGTCTTATGTGGCCTTGCTTCCTGGAATCCACACTAAAAAGACAGAACTCAGACACTATGCTCTTCTTAAGAAAATTAAATTTTTGGCTACACGGAAATGCCAAGCTAAGTCTTGTTAGGAAAACAACTTCAAGTTCTGAAGGGTTTCCCTGTGCTGCCCTGTTTTCTGGCTCCTTTCTGAATGCTAATCACTCTTTACTAATAGTGCTATTTTCAGAACCTGAAAGCAATTTTCACAAGGAGCTGCTCTCTAGAAGGAGCCTTCAAAATTACCATAACTGATGAGAATTACTTTCCCCAAGAAAATACAAGCAGGCCTTGAGAAGCGAGGCGGAGAAGGCTCACCGTACCTTAGGGTGCGATTCTGGAAATTGTGCTGGCCCATGGGTACGTCCTAGTACAAAAGGAAGACTTATTAGTGGCCACAGACTTATTTCAAGAATAAGTTTGCAATTGGCTAACGCTTAACATTTTTTATTTTACCATGGAAAGTATCTTTTTTTTATTACGGTACAATACATACAAGGAAGAAAGCAATGTATTCAAGTTTTAGAAAAAGAACCTGATGTTATTATTTTGCTTATTCTTAGGAAAGCATTTTCAGAAGCTTATCCTTTTCTGTACAGAGGTAACTCATGGTTGCTGTGAAGCTAAACACTGTGCCACTGATGTGTCAAATGTGATAAAGGCTACCCATGGTGGACGGTGTTTGGTGGAGCTTCCCAAGTAAAACAGTCTTGGAAGCAGGAGTGCCATCCACTTCCGAAATAGCTTGCCTCCGGAAACTCTATGAACTTGGAAAAACGATGAACGTTAGACAAGTGTTCAGGTCTTTTGTTCACAGGGTCGCTATGAGTCATCTATGACTCCACGGCACTTAACAACAACAACATCCACAGAACGTAAAGTGTGCCATCTTTAAGCGTCTACTCCAGTACGTGGGAGAAGAGTGGGCAGACTCCTCCCGTGTGATTATTAACCGACTCTGAACCCGACGGAGAGTCAGCTATGGGTCGGCTCCGACTCGGCGGTTCACAACAACTCCAGCACATTCATGACATCCACTCACCGTGCTGTGGACGTCAGGTGCTGCCCAGGGGCCTGCAATTCACACTGCTGTTACGTACAACAGACCTGGACGCACCCCTGTCCTGCGCCATCCCCCCGATTTCCAGCCTGCTCACGCCCACTGCGGTTGCTGTGTTAATCTCTCCCGTTAAGCGTCCTCCTCTGTTTTACTGACGCCCCTCTTTTCCTGAGGCCTGGGCTCTCTTGACAACAGGTCCAAGGCAGATAAGGACAAGTCTCACCGTGCTTGCCTTTAAAGGGTACCCTGGCTGAACTTCCTTTAACACAGATCTGCTCATTCTTTAACAACCCACGGGGTGATCAATACTCTTCACCTCCACAATCTAAGTTCACCATGTCGGGCGGCACCCCGTCATTCCTTTCCAGTCTCCTCCGATTGGAGTGGAAGCTACCAGAGCACATGGGTTTTCCATCCACCAGTCCACACGCATTCTTTCTCTCGACACTGATCACAGTCCCCACAATGTGGCGGCCCTCCTCTCACGCCCTCACCGTATGTCCACACCTTCCCATTCGTCTCCTCTATTCTCCGTTTCCACAGAGAGACAGGGCTTTCCGAGCTCGGTTCCTGGGCAAATCCTTTCTTTTGATCTTGTATCTGAGGAGTGGGAATGTTCCTGCGGTCCCTTTACACCCTACTGCCCTGCCTACTGCTTGGCGAAACGTTGTGTGTGAAATTATCAGACCAAAAATTATTCTATCACAGTTTTCAGCTCATTTGAAAGTTTCTCTTTTTAACCTTTGCAACTAGCCTATTTTGGGATGCTTGTTTTTAAAAACACTCTCCTTGAAGATGTGGTGAGGTAGGAACTCTTATACACTGTTGGTGGGATTGTAAAATGGTATAGCCACTCTGGAAGGCACTTTGACGTTTTCTCAAGAAGCCGAACATAGAAATTCTGTATGACCCAGCCATCCCACTCTTGAAATATACCCCAAGAAAATGAGAACTGAGGCACAAACTGAGATTTGCACACCAATGTTCATAGCAGCATTATTCACATCACAAGAACATGGAAACAGCCCAAATGTCCAACCACAATGGAATGGACTGAGAAATTATGGGACATTCACATGACGGAATACTATGCAGCACGCAGGAGCAATGGCTTGGAAAATCTCTACGTAATTTGGGAGGTACTGGAGAGCATTATGCTGAGTGAACTAGCTCAGTCCCATAAGGGCAAATACTACGTAAGATTTTGTAGAAATCAAAAGACAATTAGTAAAATGTTAATGAGGATCCAAGAGGGGGAAGTTAGAAGCAGGGGTGAGGATGGGCGGGGAGTAATCACAGGGTCGCACAATCTGACGGGTGGAGGGAGGGGTGGGTAAAGGAAATGGGAAAGATCTGGTGTGAAAAACAATGTATAGGAGCTTTGTAAGGCAATCAGCACAAAATACAAATTTATATATAAAAAAAAACAAACAAACCCCAAACAATAAAAACTACTCTCCTTGCACGCAGCAGAACGAGTCATGTATAAACCTTAGGGTTCATTTCTCTGTACTTTGATGCTTCCTGACAGCTGGCTAACGGGTCCCCCCCTAGGGGGGAGACTGTGGTCCCCCAGCCTCTCCAGCTCCTATTTTGAGGACCTTTACCCCCGGCACTGGCCCCCAGTGCCCAGCAGACCTACCGTGGTGCTGATTTTGCCGTTCTCAGTGGTCATGCTGTCTCTGTGGTGCAGGTGTGCGAAGGGCTTGGCCGCCCCCCAGGACTCCAAGTAGCGAGTCATGCGCACCGACGCCCGCATCTTGGCTCCGTCCAGGTTGTGGCGAGGCCGGAAGAGATGCTGGGGGCTCCGCCGTTCTCCCTGGAGGCAAGAAACAGTGATGACAGCAGCCGGGCCACCACATGCCCGATCTGACCGCTGGCACCTGGCACCTGCCCAGGTCTCCAAGGAGGAAGCACCCTTGACAGCAGCTGGGCCACCACACACCCCATCTTCCCGCTGGCACCTGGCACCTGCCCAGGCCTCCGAGGAGGAAGAACTCTGACAGCTCTGGGCCACCCTGTACCTAAGTCTTCCCGCTGGCACCTGGCACCTGCCCAGGCCTCCGAGGAGGAAAAACTCTGACAGTTGCCGGGCCATCACACACCTGATCTTCCTGCTGGGAGCCTGGCACCCCCTCAGGCCTGCAAGGAGCCCCACTGGTCTAGGATGACCTTTCAGAGGCCACTCTGTCTGCTGACCCCTGACATGGCCCCTATACACACTAAGGCTGCTGTTCTCGTTCCATCAGGCTTGTTGGGGTGAAGCGGTTTGGGCAGCAGAGCCTCCTAGAGAAAAACCTGTCTGCAATTAGAACTAGGGCAAGGCCACAGCCCTTCCAATGGGCGTTTCCATCAAGCAAAGCTCGTGAGGTCACTCATCCGTTGTCCCACTGCCCGGCGGCTGGGTTTCCCTAAGGCGACTCTGGAGCGTGGTCCACAGGGGGCTGCACACCAGAGGCCCTGCTTCGCTGACGATCAGGTCCACCAGCGGCTCTGCAGGACGAGGATGGACACACTCTTCCCGTGTGACCTGACAGCTCCAAAACCCAGTGGAGGGTCAGCTGGGAGTCAGGTCTAATCCAGGGCCTTGGCTCTGAGGGCTTCTAAAAAGCCTTGAAGACACCTGGCGTCACAGGTGGAAAGTGTTGGCTGCTAACTGAAAGCTGTGGGTTCGCACTGCACAGAGGATGAAACGATAATCCAGGACTGACTGGCCCATGGCTTCTCTGAGTTTTAGATTCTTAACTTGTAAGCAGGGATGGGGGGTGTTGCCTGCTCTGCTCTGAACTTGGCGTTGAGGCGGTGAGAGCACTGTGCGATGCTCGGAGCAGTGGGATTCGGTCTCTGTGACAGGGTCTCTGTAGCCAGATGGAGGGGTTTTGTACACAAGCACGCACACAGCTTTGTACATGGGAGATGGCTGTCCTTACACAAGTGCCCCTTTCTCATCTGTCCACTGCCCTCCGCTGTGGTCTCACCAGCTGTTAACACCCAGAGGCACCTGGTCCATAATCAGTGTCCCACTTGCGGGGTTCTCCAGCCTGAGCCCACTGTGAGGTGGTCTGAAGTGTCACCCACCAGGGCAGACACACAGGGACCCGACACCAAGAAGTCACAGTGTCTTCAGACAAGTGGCTCCATCCACGAGTTTCTTTAATGGCAGTTTATACTGATGTTTGCAAAGGCTGCCCTCTGCCACCGTAGTGGAGTTACTGCACATATTCAATGTTATCTTATGTGACCCTGCGGGGCAGTGGCCAGGCGTCTGTGCTGCCAACCCAAACCCGGTGCTCTTCCAGTGGTTCGAATCCACCAGCTGCCTCCTGGGAGAAGGATGGGGAGTCTCCTCCAGTGTGATTTACAGTCTCTGAAACTCCCCTGAAGGGCCAGCTATGAATTGGTTCTGCCTCCCTGGCAATGACTTTGGATTTGGTTTCTTTAAAAACATTATTTTAGAGCCAAAAACCACTGAAGAATGACACTAACCCTTTATTAATCATAAACTGCTTCCCCTCTCCCAGAAGGCATCGCTGCCAGACTCTGAGTGGCCCCGGGCCTGTCAGGAACTCGCCCTGTGTTCTCAGTGGCTGAAGGTTTGAAAGTCAACCCTCAAGCCTTCCCTCTGACATGCCTCTGGTTGAACTTGAACCCACAACCTTTTGGTTGGTAGCCACACACACTATCTTTAGAGCCCAGGGAATCCCTGTTCCATCCTCAGATGACAAAGCCCATCTCAGACCCTTGACAGTGACACTGACCTTGGGGTTGATGACAAAGTAGGTTTTCACCAGGTGCTGCTTCAGATACGGGTCCCGGATGTCACCGTCTCCCTCCTCCACCTTGTAGGCTCCGTTGAGATGCTCCAAGGTGACAGAGGAGATGTGGACACGCCTGGATGTCCATGTAAAATTCAGGTCAGCACGCACGCAGTGAGGAAGAGGGAGGCGCTTGGTCAATTGTGCACCCTCCCCACACCCGCACCCCCCCGCAGCAAGTGGTGGGGCTCCCCACCCCCGCACCAAGTGGTGGGGCTACTTTGTGTCCAGAGAAGAGAGACTGTCATGAAACGCTACTTTCTAGTAAGTGCTGCTCCAGGAAGATGCTCCAGGACTTGGGGCCCCCAGCCCCTCCCAGGAGCCTGCCGGGAGCCTGGGGCTGTGGGAGCAGAGGACGCTTGATGACACTGAGTTTTCATTGATTGTCTTCTGAGACATGTGCTGACTGGTATGAACGTGCGTCTCTCCACTCCTCCCTTCCTCCCAGAGAGCTTTTCTACCAGGTTCTCCTGTCTGGAAAAACACTATGCTGACTGGAGGTGGAAGGAGGCTTGGCTTCAGGGGCCAGAAGCAACAGGGAGATGGGGATTCTGGATATAATACTCTTATTTAAGTCCGTTCACTCGTCATAAATCCATAAGAAAGGAAGAATGTAAATGCATCTCCCCGTATAACGCTCATAAGGAACTAACCTCTCCCCGTATAACACTCATAGGAAACTAAGTCACAGGGGAGCTTATGTGGACTGAGAAATCCAAATCACATATACTTTGTACAAAGTATGGAAAACGGGCTCTGCCCACAGCTGTTGGTCAATGGTCATTGGAGTGGTAGGGTCCAGGTTTCACTGGGAAATGCTGGGGACACTGTGAGCGAGCAGGGAGGTGCTAAGTGGGAGAGAGGAGCCCCTGACCACTGACTGTGCAGCGCGGACCTGCCCCTGCCACCCGGTCCTGCATGTGGAGGGGGGTGTGGCGCCCTTACCCCGGGACCCCTCCGGCCTCCATGTGGTTGGCCAGTGTGACGTCGTGTGACCACACGTCGTACTGCCACTTCTGCAGCCCGATGACACCACACAGCACGTTGCCTGAGTGCACGCCCACACGCATGTTGATGTCCACGCCCGTTGCGTCCCTCACTTTTCTGCAGGAGGAAGGTGACATCGTGACCCAGTTAGTCCCTGGCACGTACGCACCGTGTTCCCCAAAATACACTTCATGTTTGGAATGATATCATGTGGGAGCTATGCCAGGGTCCCCCAAGGTCCCACAAACCATGGGGATTAGGGTGGAAGGCAGTGTTCTTTAACCTCACCTCTGTAAGGGACATCTTGGGTGTAATGTCCCCTAGCCTGTCAGATAAAGGGAGAGGCTGGCAGATAGGGCCTTAACCCCACCTCTGTCAGAAACACCCCCCCCCGATGATAAAGGGGTGGGAAGTGGCTGGCCTGGGGGAACTCCAGCAGCAGTAAGTGTCGATCAGCCAGGAGGGCAGGTGGCCTTCACGCCTGGACCCTGCATGAGGAAGCTCTCTGACACCAGCAGGCCAGGTGCACAGTCTCCAGGGAGCCCTGACCTGCAGATGCTGGAGACCAGGACCCCCGCCCACCACCCACACAGACAGAGGGCCTCCCCCAGAGCTGGGACCGCTGGCTTCTTAAATGGCAAGGAGCACATTTCTGTTGGCTGTGGCCCCACCATGGCGCCTCTGTCCCAGCAGCCCTCGCTCAGCCCCCCTAGTCTCTGAAGGAGGCCCTTTCTCTTTTCTGCTGACTGCACTTTCTCAGGCTGTCAGCAACGTCTACAGGAATCCCTCCCAGGACACCGGAGGGGCAGGAGCTGAGAAAGGCCGCCGTTCTGTCCTGTCATCGCAGATGGTCCAGACGCCCCAGTGCCCTGGTTAGTAGGGACGAGCCAGCCAGGCCTGGTGAGGACACAGCTTCTCAGACCAGTGTCTGGGGTTCCCATATCATGTCTGAGCACTATTGGGCTGACACCCGTCCTTCCATCTTATTCTGGGCCCCCTAGGTCAGACACCGTCTGGGACACCATTCTCAGAGAGCTCGAGAGCTTGGCAGGCTCCACGTCCCAGCGTGATTCTGTAAACCCTGAGCCCGCGTCTGAGACACCCCGTTATCAGACACGGTCTGGGCCGTCAGGAACCCTTGCTCTTCAGCACAATGTAAGCTCTCAGCGGGTTTTACGCCTGACGATAAAAGGGCCACACGGCTTACGTGTGAGCTTCACCGTGACTCGGGCATGAATGGGGATTTTTAAAAATAACTACAAGATTAAAGCTTTCCAGTTGGACACATCCTGGCACACACACAAAAGGGGAAATAAGGCTGTAAAAAAAGCTTTAATGATGTGTAAGAGACAGAGTCCTTTAAAAAACATTTTCAATCCCTGGGCCCCTCTCAGGCCCTCACTGAGACACAAAAAGGCATCGTGAGGGCATGAAAAGGCAGGGTGACAGATATTGATCTGGGCCAGACAGGTGCATCTGCAGCAACCACACACCACTACGAAGGTGAGGCAGGGGTTGTGTCCAGTCACGGGTGACTCAGGACAGAGGCAAGGCACTGATGGGACAAGGGGCATCTCAGGGGCCTGTGGGAGGGCTGAGACGACCCCCCCCCAGACAGCACAGCCGTGGATGCAGCGGTCACTGACGAAATGACACAAACAAGCGGCCCCTGCTGAAGTCATGGTGTCTTCGTTCTATCATGCCGGACATGACATCGGCGGGCAGCCCAGGCTTAACTGACTGACAGGACACAGGCTCAGTAACAGATAAGATGGTACCATTTCAACACCGGGAAAGGATAAAAAGGCCAGGCTCACTACAGAAAAAGAAAGGGCGTCCTGGGGGAGAACAGGACAGGGGCCATGGTGCTCTCCTCTCTCCTTCCAGACTCCTTCTTTTGTATCCCTGCCTTCTCATTTATGTTTGTATGACTATCAGCTGAGATCTTTTACGACTATCAGCTGAGATCTTTTACGACTATCAGCTGAGATCTTTGACTGATGCAGTTCATAACACAAAGACTTTATCACAGATAGAGCAGTGCTGGCTTCCGAGAGGCCCTTCCCTCAGGACACTGGGCACTGAGCTGAGGCTCGTGTCCCCGTGCAGGGTACCCCACGGCGTCAGTGAACTGGCGAGGAACAGCCACATTTGCCCATCATTTCATCCTGCACTGGTCGACGGTGATGACTATTCTGCATCCAGAACCTTCTCTAGAATAGGAAGAAACCAGAGCTCTCAGGAAACAAGGATAATCAAGTGACATTAAATTCACAGAACTGAGTGTGTGTGGCTAGACGAAGCCACTCCAGATCGGATTCTTAGGTTCACTGGATGTGATGGTAAAAACGACGTCATGTCTTACAGACTGCGGGCAGCTACTGCGTGTGTCTGAAATCAAGAGAGATGCGAAGAGGGCAGATGTTGCCTCAGGATGAGAGAAGACACGGAAATGAGCAAAAATGAAAAGGAAAGATAGAATTCTCACGCTGAAACTAAGACGACAAGCCTTCCCAGAGAGCCTGCATTTTGTTTTATCTGTAATGCACAGCTGTTGATGACAACATAAATCACTGACAAAGGTCTCAGTCTGGACTGAGTTAGTCACACTTTTCACACGCTTGTTGAAGTTGAACAATGAAGAAGAAAACAGACGCACAACTGATGATGTCTTTGTGTACGGTGTTCCCGAGGAATACAGAATATACAGTGGACTGCTCGAAGAACCAAGAAATCGATCAGCCTGGGAGGAAGTCTTGCCCAGGGACGCCTCCTCCCCAATACTCTGGCCGTGTTATCAGTAGAGGCCAGTCCTTGAAGAAGGGCATCGTGCTCGGCGAGGAGAGGGTCAGTGAGGTGATTGTGATGAGATGGACTGACACCGTGATGACAGCCACGAGGTTGAGCTCAGACATGATGGTCTGGATGGTGCAGCTCCAGGCTGGGCTATGGTGAGCTACAGAGGGTCACTGAGAGCCGGGTTCATGTCCATGGTGCAGAACAACAGCTGCATTCACATGCCAATAAACAAGGCTCCACATATCACTGTCTAATCTCACCACGGGCCTAAGCAGAGCGGTGTCCAAGCATCACTGTCTAAGCTGACCAGACAGAGGACAGCAGAGCAGTGTCCACACATCACTGTCTAAACTGACCAGAGGACAGAGGACAGCAGAGCAGTGTCCACACATCACTGTTTAAGCTGACCAGAGGTGAAAGGTGCCCACACTTACTTGATGGCCTCGCACATGTCCAGCCCCATCTTCACACAGTTCTTGGCGTGGTTCGGCAGGGAGATGGGGAGTCCGGACACACAGTAGTAGCAGTCGCCCAGGATCTTAATTCTCATGCACTCGTTCTCCTGCAGAGTGAAGGACAACCCCTTAGTTGGCTTTCCTCACCCACTGGACCCACAACCACCAGGGCCGCGGGCCATAGCCGTTCCTCCAGACCGAGGACTCAGTGGTCAGTGTCCTTCCACCCCAGCTCCCACCCCACCCACATGCCACCCCCACCAGGGCTACTGCTGCTCCTCCAGACCGAGGACTCAGTGAGCGCTGGCCTGTGACCTTCCACCCCAGCTCCCACCCCACCCACATCCACATCCACATCCCACCAAGCACGGAGGAGGCGGGAAAGGGGGGCTGGAGGAAGAGGGTCCCAGGGACCACTCCTGTGCGTCCATGGGTGTGCTCGCCTAACGTGACCAGGTAGCCTATCAGAAGGGACTTTTTAAAATCAATCCAGAGCATGTCTTGGACTGAGTTACACGTGAGAAGAACAGACTTTGCCCCATTAATGCATCAAACGCTGACGGTGAATAACAGACACACAGAGCAGGGTCCTGTGGGCTGGTCTGTGGTGCAAAGCTCAGTCCAACCCCAGTGGCCTCGCCCGCCTGCCTGCCCCACTCGGTCTCATTCACTCACTTCTTCACCGATTTTATCCTCTGATAAACATCTCCACGGGACAACAGCCACCCTTCAACATCGCCAAGCAATTAAAAACCCAATTCCCATCTGAGGCGGAACCTTTTTACAAATTTGACAAACTCTCCTTTGTTTTTCTTGCCGGGGTGAGAGTGATCATATTTAAACAGCTGAATTAATAAGCTTCCATCCTATAGAACTTTTTCTACCAGCTGTGGAGTCATCTTTAAAATAGAATAATAAAAAGCAAAGACACACAAACATTTTATCCTTCAAACAAGCCCAGGCTCACGGATAAAGGAAGCCAAGTTTGAAAAAGGAAATTAGGCGTCAATCTAATTAGTGCGCTCAGTGCATGAAGCTTCCACAGGCTCCTCCACGCTGTGGACGCCACGCGACAGGACTGAGGCCCGCTGTCACGCACACTGGTCACTCTGTAAACGGTGGGCAGCGGGTTAAGTGCTGGGCCTGCATTTCAAGCTCCCCAGCTGCTGTGCAGAGAAAGACAAAGCTCTCTGCCCCCATGGGACACCGCGGGGGGCGGATCACACAGTGACAGTGAGTTTCTTATAAATGAGCTCTGGTGGCCCAGTGGCAAGAAGCTGCGCTGCAATCCCAAAGGCACGCGGTTCGACGCCACCACCGACCGCAGGTTGGACAATCTCCTCCCGTGCGCTTATCTGCTTCTGAAACACCAGCTGGAGGGTCAGCTGCGGGGCGGTTCCCACTCCACGGTCCACAACAGAGCAGTAATTCCAGACAACAGTAACACAAACTCAAAGGCGAATGACGCCTCACTAACACCCCTGCCCTCCCATTCGACCTGCATAGATGCGAGTCTAGAGGTGACCAGGGCTCCGGACAGCGGCGTTCGTGAGGTCAGGTGTACAGCGGTCACTCCCAGAGCTGGGTCAAGGGCTGAGACGCTGGCTGATGATGCTCTCCCCACACGTCAGCGAGCGATCAGCAGGGAACTGACGACCAGTGTATGTGGACTCTGGCCAACAACAGATGGGAGGCCGCGCAAGGTGCCGCCTGGACGTTCCTTCACGGTAACGGGGGTCAGTAATAGATGGGGAGGCTGCTCACGGAGCTGCCTGGACAGTCCTTTATGGTGACGGGACACACGAGGTGACACAGGTCTTTCCAGGAATCCAGGGACATGGAGGGCAGCGGCAGGAGTCAGGCATTGTCCCCCAGTCCTAGCTTCACGGAGAAGTAGATGTTTGCCCCTTAGTCCCCCGAGAACTGCTGGGTTAAGGCGCAGGGGGTCCATGTCCTGGGGCCTTCCTGAATTGTCACTAGGCCCAAGATTCAGGGAACAGCTGCCCTGCAGTGGGAGTGGGTGTGAGTGTGTGAGTTAGGACTGGGGATGATGAGGGGCGTCCAGGACTTTATCAGACACCAGGGTCATTGCGTATAGCATGACAGACTCTATCTATCTATCTATCTATCTATCTATCTATCTATCTATCTATCTATCATCTGTCTATCATCTTCTATCTCTCTCACATCTATCTATCTTCTATCTCTCTCACATCTATCTTCTATCTCTCTCACATCTATCTATCACATCTATTTTATCTCTCTCTCTCTCTAACATCTACCTACTTATTTTTACTATTTCTGTTTTAATACCCAGATATGTACGGTTGAGTCGGAACTGACCCATAGCTGACCCTCCAGTGAGTTTTCAGAGGCAGTTTGATCTAACGGGAGGAGATTGCCCATCTTTCTTCCAAGGAGCAGCTGGTGGATTTGAACTATGTGCCTTTGGGGTTGCAGTCACCTCCTTACCACAGGCACTGGCTGTGTTTCGCTAGGTTGAGAATCTCAGAACAGGGATGGAATTCTTCTGTAACCCACAACTTCCTGCTACCACAGAACATAAACATAGTAAATACTCAAAGCTGTACAACCTCCCCTTTCTATTGCTACAAAATGCACAATTGATATAAAAAGGCAACTTTGTGTAGTTATCAGCACATGCCTTTACCAGTTGAGGGGAACCCAGTCACTAATTATTTAATAGTATACATTTTCATTCCACAAGTCTTTTCAAGTCCCACCGGGAGAGGTCACATCTGTGAAGCAGATTTGCTCGGTTCCCCTTTGCCTTAAGTAAAACTAAGTAATCCAACAAAGCAACCTTTCATGACTCCAAAATTTCAAGTTTAATTTTTCTTTTCTAAAGCTTTGCACCCATCAAAGTCAGCTGTCCTGGCCTTTGGTTTTGTAGAGAAAGGAGGGGACACTGTACAGTGGAGACTTCTAAAGTCCTCTCCAGCTGGCCTGGGCAGCTGGAAAGCGTCACACACCACCTCTGGGTGCTGACCCCGGAGTGATGACGGCACAATCGCAAAGCTGCGTGTCTTCAGAAGGGCTTGGCTATGGTGGTCTATAGTGTTGATATGAAATAGATTTCAGGGCCAACGAAATTTACGATTAATGCCTCGTACATAAATAACATGTTTTAATTTGTTTAGTGAGATATTTTTGTTGGAAACAATTCAAAGGCTAGGCTGATGAGACATTCTCTTAGGTGAGGCAAAAGGCAGGCAAGGAAGCGAGCATTACGTCAATGTCTCCCTGCACCTGCACACGCCGGGCCCCACTCTCAAATGGTTTCAGATGCCTTCCTAATGGTGATGTTTCCTGCAAAGGACCACATGCCACCGTTAGGGGCTGAACGGTCTCTGGCTAGAATATGTGCAGTGAATCCTAATCCCTGCAGTAGAGACCACGATGTGGTCTGGGCACGTGCTTTCTTTGTAATGTTAGTGGGGTGACTTTGGTGTTGACTGTGTCTGAGATCAGTCTCTTCTGTGTTAAACAAGGTAGCTGACAGATGTAGGCAGAGAAGACACAGGCCATCTAATCACCACGGGGCATGGGAGCAGATGCCACAGGCAGGCACCTCCCTCAGAGTGGACACCGGGAGGCCCCGCCTTCCTCTCCAACCAGGACCTGACGTCTAGCCTCCTAGATCAGCCTCCGAGCCCGTGGGAAGGCAAACACCACACAGACATCCACCTGCGAGGCGTCTGTTACAGTTTCCCCAGAAACGAGGGCTGTCGCAGACCAGTCATATAATCTCCTCTAGTCAAGGTCACCGGAGTCAGCGGTCCAAAAACAGCCAGGGAAGGGCTCGGACAGAAGGGGGCATCCCACGTGTACAAACCCTAAGTTAGGAGTAAGCAAAAGGGCATCGGTCTGTGGGGTGACCGGAACAGAGGCAAGAGTGGGCTCAGAATTACCGCGGCCGGACAGCACTCCAGCTGGTGTCTGGAACCCAAAGACAGCGGACGTCCTGGTCAGGACTGGCACGTGTTCCACCCTGGGTCTCCACAGCCCTGCTCACCACTGGACAACAGCTGGACAACAGCATGCGTCCTGCCCTGCGTTCCATGTCACCACTGACAACAGCATGCGTCCTGCCCTGAGTTTTTCCGCAACACTGGATGACAGCACACGTCCATCCTGGGTTCCCTCTCTACACTGACAACAGCACGTGTTCCACCCTGTGTCCCCCCTCCACACTGGACAACAGCACTCGTCCTGCCCTGGGTCTCCACAGCGCCGTTCAGCACTGGAGTTCAGGAGCAGAAAGGGATGAAAGGAGGTCATTCCACATCTACGGAGCATCCAGACACCACACCCATGTCCTCTGCTCGTGAACGAACTCCTGCTCAGAGCGACCCCCTAGAGTGGAGAAATGCCCGCAGGACTCCTGGGTTGTTCCTTCTGAAAGCAGACTGCCACGTCGTGCCTTGTGGACCGGCCAGCAGGCTCGAGGCACTGAGCTTTCAGCTGGGAGGTGAGCGTGTGAAGCACTGCGTGACCCACGGTCCTCGCCCCTGGTGTGTTAGTGCTATTAGGTGCTGTGACGTCATGTACGACTCTTAGTGACCTGTGAGCAACAGACCTGAGCCCTGTCCCCCCGTGCCTCCTCACAGTCTCCGACACACCTGGGCCCACTGCAGCGGCCACCGTGTGGGCCACCTCGTTGAGGGTCTTCCTCTCTTTAGCCGACCCTCCAGCTTCCCAAGGAACTGCCCCTCATAACAACATGCCCAGAGTCTGTGAGACAAAGCCTCACCATGAAGGCCTTCAAGAAGCATGCTGGCTGCACTTTCTCCAGGACATACTTAGAAGTCCATGGGACACCTAGCACTCCTCTCCATGACCACTCCTCAAAGCAGAGCGCTTTGTTTATCCAGTTTTAGTGCCCAGCTCTCAGATGCATAGCAGGGGATGGCACAGAACACGGCTTGAGGCAGCACACCTTACTCTTTAAGGTAACATCATTGCTCTCCAGTACTCTGGAGAGCTCCCTGACCACAGACTTTCCCAGTGCACTATGTCTTTTGATTTCCTCGGTGCTGGTACCGGTGGTGTTGGCTGTGGAAGCAGGAGGAAACCAATGCCGTTTCATCTCCCTGGTGTAAGGATGCCATAAAGATGCTCAGATGAGGGTGCTGTAGAGAGTGTGGAGTCAAACCTCACTGCTCTGGCTGTATCTTGCCTGCTGCCGCCTTCTCTGCGGGGCACAGAGAACCTAGCTGTGACCTTTCAGGAGAAGATCGCTTCTGAAGCACTTCTGGTGGGTTGGAACTGTCAACCTTTCAGCTAGGAGTGGAGTGCTTAGCTGTTCGCACCACCCAAGCATGGGCATTTGCTAAGAGTGTGTAGAGTTAGAGATGAGTAGAAGTTTTAAATAGATGACAAGATGTGACTCTGATGTGCGTTGGCACTGCCCTTCTCCCCGCAGCTTCGGGGGTCAGTGGGGTTCACTGGGAAAGGAATCCAACGACTTTAGAAGCAGCGGTGCCAAAGAAAAAGCAAAGGACGTTACAGGGAGGGGGAGAAGGACAGAGTCCACGCAAGCTGGGACATGGCCCCCACGTGGTCAGCCGTCGGGGATACTCACCTTCGCAATCTGATCGAACTTTCCAAAGAGTTCATTCAGCATGTGGACCAGCTCTCCCGGGGAACAGTCACTCGCCAGCCGGGTGAACCCAACAATGTCCGCATACAGGATGCTGGGGGACAGACAGGGAAGACCAGCGTTTGCACGTTTATCTTCAGGAAGGAAGTAAAAATATTTCTTCCCAGAAAAAGAATAGACTTTGCATATTTTATATTTATATTTGCACGAGAAAATGCCATTTCTTCGGCTAAGGGAATGTGTGAACATTCTGCTAAACTTGCCCACGTGTTTACTTTTTATTTCTGGTTGAACCTTTTATAACTCAGATGCTGGAGTGAGTTGAGCGGTGCCTCCCTGAACGAGAGGCCCATCTGGAACTGCAGGATGTGACCTTATGTGCCACATGGGCTCGGCTGCTGGCACTGAGCATGGGCTCTAGAGATGGGCTCGCTCCGATCACAGGAGATGCTCAACCCAGGGACGAATTTCCCTGTAGGATTCAGAAGAGGGGAAGATGCAGACAGTGGGTGAGAGGCCAGAAGAAGAGGCAGAGGTGCAGTGTGCCTGCTGCCAGCCAGGCGCACTCGGGCTTGGAGAGCCACGGGACGGTCTTCCCTCAGAGGGTACCTGGTCCCTACAACCCCTGGTCTCCGGACTTCCGCTGCGTGAACTCTGAGACAGTACATCTGCTATGAGCCGTCAAGTTTGAGGTCATTACCATGGCAACAGTAGGAGACCAGGAGGAATGGAGAGGCCGTGAGGGCTCAGCAGCTCAGGTGGTCTCCATTCTGCCATCCAATAGACCTGTTCTCCCCTCTCAGGGCCAGCCTCCCAGGTCTGCACTGACGTTCCCGGGACCCGCCTTCTGCCACCTGTCCTCCTGTCTGTCTGGTCCCCAGGTGAGACTTTCTGACACTGCTAGAATTTTGCTCCACTGGTCTAGTGGTAAGAAGCTGCATGGCAATACCAAAGACATGTGGTTCGAATCCACCAGCTGCTCTGTGGGAGATGGATGGACAATCTCCTGCCAGGCGATTTACTGCCTCTGAAAACCCACTGGAGGGTTAGCGATGTGTGGGTTCCAATTCAACAACACACAACAACTACTTAAATTATATGGATTTATGTTATAATAATGCCGAAACTAGAGGAACCAAAATAACAAAAATAAGATTCTGTTCTTAATGACTGGAAGGGGAAAAAATGGGACAAAGAGTGCCTTTAAAAGAATTCTGGGGCAGCATGGTACTGGTACAATGACAGACACATAGATCAATGGAATAGAATTGAGAGCCCAGAAATCAGCTTATCTACATATAGTCAACTGATTTTTGACAAGGAGATGAAATCAGTTAAGTGGGGAAACGACAGCCTTTTTAAAAAATGTTGCTAGAAAAATTGGAAAAATATCTGCAGAAGACTCAAGCAAGATCCACACCTCA